TATATGGTACCCTATCATGTCAGATAAGTACATTTTTACTTGATAATTATATAGAGTTCCTCCAAAGTAACTAAATTATTTTAAGGCTAATTTGTTTAAGTAAAAACAAGTATGACAAATATATTTAGCATGTGGAAATAATATCACAAAAATGCAAGTTAATGCTGAAGTAGCAAGCTCTGAACAAACACTCAATGCAATGAAAGCAATGGTCTGAGGAAATATATACTATAAACACCACCATAATACACAAAACAGGAAAATAAATATATGCAGCATTTGTCTTTACAGTTTGGTACAAAAATAAGCTATCCTTTGGAAAGTAAATGGATGGAGCTGCTAAATAGAAACAGAGGTTTTTAAATATTAACAGTCAAGTTAATAGAATAAAAATGTCTAAGAATTGTTTTTCATTAAGATATAACCAAATACATAAATTGTTAAAATCATATCAAGAAATCTGTAAACATACAAATATAAAAATATTCGATTGTTTTTGTGAAAACAACAATAACAAGGAAATTAACAGAATCTTGAGAGAATATTTTACCCAACTCTGATTGGAGACAATTCAGATTTCTATGAAATAATTTTCTGAGAAAAGTTTACTTAAAATAGAAACAAAAGTGCTATACAATATTACCAAATTAATATTGTTAATCTGAAATATCATTATGAAGTTATTTTTCCCCAAAATCAAAAGTTCAAGCAACTTCATAGTGCTTTGTCCCAAACCTGAAAAGAAAAAATGATTACAGTGCTATTTATAGCACTCAAAAATACAAGAGAAAAATGAAAATAACTAAAACACTCTTTAAGAAATAATTATAATACAACCCAGAAGTCAAAAGCAATAGTAGGATAGGAAAGCTAAGTAGAAATCATTCTTAATGATTACAGATATAAAAATAATAGCAAATAGAATATTCTAGCACATTAAAATAATAATGCATCATGGGAAGTATTACTTTTTCTAAAAATGCAAAGACGGTTCAGTGTTAGTACTATATCTATATTATAATTTTTTAATCTAGCAAAACATTTATCAGTACATTTTAAGCATACATAATGGTAACACTCACCATAGGGAATTTGCACCTGTACATGGTACATCACACTCTATATATTGTAATTTTCAATATTAATTAAATGAGGAAAATCGTATAGTAATATTCATAGATAGGAAAGGAAACATCAAAAATCTGGGATAATTATGAATATTTTCAATAATGTGGAAATAAAAGGACATTTTAATCATGTCGATCATGATGAATTGGGAAATATTAATATCATCTTGGTTGAAATAAAAAATAAAGTAACTATATCCTTTATCATCACCATAGTTAATAACATTATTCTGGATGAATTAGTCAGTAGACTCAGATTAGAGGAAAATGGAGAACTTTGGAAATTGAAAATGAGGAAAGTTAGAGTATCATTTTTATTGATTTATTTTTTTCCTTTTCGGTGCTGGGGATCAAACCTATGGCATCGTGTATGCTAAGCAAGCATTCTACCACTAAGCTACATCCTCAATCCATCATATGTAGATTATATTATTGTCTTTCAGGAGTAGAAGTATGACAATTGGCTAAAAAACTCTCTAGGCAGAAAAATAAATTTCTGTGCAGAATGAAATCTATAGAAATCAATGATCTTCACCGCTAGTTGGAAGACAGTCCATGTAAAGAAAACAAGAAGAAATAAAATACCTAAAAATAAGGTTAAGAAGAACACAAAATGTACATCAAGAAGTTTTAAAATGCTGAAAAATACGAAAAGAATGCGAACAACTGTGGAGGTGAAGAAGGGGCTTGTTTTTGAAACTTCACATCCCACTGAGGCCAGGAGATAAAGGACAAAGGGCAAGGGCCTGGGTAAGCTAAACGGAGTAAACTGAAGGAAGGCCAGGACCTGGGTCCACAGGAAACTAAGCCCAAAGCACACACAACAAGTCCCTGCGTAAACCAGGAGAAGCCTCAAAACACCAGAGTGCAAAGGACAAAGAAATAATAAAATCTGCTGACAAGAAGCCTGGGAAGCAGCTGCACACCTGCATTTTCTCAGGTCCTCTCCCCTTTCTCCGCCCTTTCTTCGCCCTTTCTTGTCCCCAGAAGCTGTGCATAGGCTTCTAGATTCCGGCACGCGCTTGGGGTCCTCTTTCCTCGCCTGTTTACTGAGGGCTTTGCTTTGTTCTCTCTCATAAACTCCAGCCCTCTCAGTAACTCTTTCATCATCCTCAGGACAAGAACCTGAGGGAGCAAGCAGGTTACAATGACATGTGAATACGGAAGACTTCTCTTCATAACATGTTAATTCTCATTTGTCAATTCACACATTTTCAAAAGTTTAATATAAAATAACAATGCAATTTTGGAACTAAATATTTTGACCCTAAATTTCACAATAGACATTAGTAAGAGGATTGTTGTTCCACCTAGGAGTTCAAGATCTGAAAGAAGTCTACTCCCACTCTAACTTCACAAAAAAAGCCAGTAAACTACAAATTCATAATTTTTCCTGCACTCATCAAACAGCTGCAGCCACAGGGTAACAGAGTGGCCTGGAAATCCAAGCTGATCTGGCTCTCAGAAAGAGAAGGAAGTACAGCTTGTTTCATCTCTGGCAGAAGCAGGAAGACAGTGAGAAAGAGGAAGACACCAGACAAGGAAGCAGAAAGCAGTCAGCTAAGGTTTTAATGCCTAGCTGAAAACATGGCGTGAAATGCCATAAAGACCTTCAATTGCTGCAGACCCCAGACTCAAGGGTAGTTTGCATTTACCAGCAAGCTCTTTTCTGCAGACCTTCGGTGCCTGTTCTGGAGAAAGGTGGCTGGTGATTAGGGCCAGAGAAGAGAGGAGGTAACCACCCCCTGTGCTGGTAAGGGTGGGAGGAGGGGCTATTCCTGCTGCACAGAGAGAAAAGCCTAACTCCAACCAGAGAAAGAGGTAGCAGCACATCCAGGGGAAGGAACACCAAAATTCTAGCAGCTTATCATCAGAACGCACATATATGAGAAGGCTATGCAATGAACTCTTTAAAATTAAGTGAGGGAAAATCAAGACACAAAATTTCTCAACCCAGATATCTATATTTAGAGAAAATATTTTTCAACTATGAAAGTAAAATACTTTTTCTGAGATGCAGTGAGAAATTATTGCCTGAATAATCAATTACAGAATAACTACATTAACTTTAAATGATTATATGAGTACAGAAAAATGTCCCAAATCTAAACTTCACCTTAAAATCTAGAAAAAGCAAATAAAGCAACCTCAAAGTTGAGTCTTTAAAAAAATAATACAATTCAAAAGCCTCTAGAAAAGGAATGAAGAAAAAGAAAAACAAACATATAAACAATATCCAGACCCTACAGATATTAAAGTGGAAAAAAAGTAGATATATAACATACGGACATGTAGTAAGAACTATGTGGCATGAAACATAAAAATTAAATTAGGAAATAGAAAAAATATCAGAAAACCGCCCTAGCTGGATGGGCTATTCTGATTCCAAGTGGCCCTGGAGCAGTGAGAAAAACAGTGATTGTTCAATAAACAGTCTCACACAATTTTTTAAAAAACTAGAGCTTTATGGAAAAAATATACTTGGATTCTGTCTTTCACTTTGCACAAGTGAACTTTTGATGTGTTAAGCATTTGAAAATATGAAGTGTAACACCCTAACAGTTTTTGTAAAAATAGGCATGAGAAAGTGTCTAGCATAAGAAGAAATATTGATGAATATGCATACATCAAAAGTAAAGATTTTTATTTTACACAGAAAGTTTGAGAGGAAAATTAAGGGAAAAGTTGCAAGGGAGAAAGCCAATAGGACAAGGTTATCTAGAATATGTCTCTTACACGTTTGAAAAACATTTTGACCTCAAGTTACAACAAATAGGCAATAAATATAACTAGGAAAGGAACTTTCATCGATTAAAAACTACACAAAGATATTTTAAAACTCCATTTTAAATCACCAGAGAAATGCAATGTAAAATCATTATCATTATATATTCAAAATATTAAAATAATTGGCCAGCTGTATGCTACGACATGTTGGCAAGGACCTGAGGTAATAGGAATTCTGCAGTTTCTGGGGGATAGTGGAGTGAAGCCATGTGTGCCTGGTAACAGGGTGACACATGTGACAAGAATACATGGCGATGCGTGGTTACACAGTAACAATGGGAAGGACTAACAACCCGCACTCAGTAGGAGTGGCTGTCATGCATGTATGCATACAGGACTGTGTATGAATGGGTTTATTACGCCACTATTAAACTGGAAGTATTCTATGTGCCCGTTTCTAGGAAATCCATCAGAAAAAAACTCAGCCCTGTTGAAAAGCATGATACAGCAATTCTAAAAGAATGACGACAAGACAGAGCCATAACATGGTACCAGTAATATAATTTTACAGACACAGACAATATTTTATAGTGTACATATACATACGTATTGAAAAAAAATAATACACATAGTATGATACCCATGTTGAAAGGTGTGTGAGGAAGAAATGGTTTTGAGGAACAAGGATGAATAAAAAGAAATATAAAATAGATCCAAAAATGGGACTTACCCAGGGCAAGAGGATAATGTTACATTCATGGAATAATACAGCCTACCAACACACACAGCCCCACAATACCACTTGCACAACATATATATGCCCCAAAAGTAAACACACACAAAAATCAGGGCACTAGATAAAACGTTGGGATGCCAAATGGTTAAAAATAATTTGCTACATTGGCACAATGAAATAGTATAAAGCTGTTAAAAATGATGAAGCTCTGATAGGAGATAATCTCAACTGTAAAGTCTTAGGGTAAAATAGCAAAGTCCTGAACTGTGTAAAGAGCTCGCTAATAGTTACATTATTATAAAGAAAATGTTTGCTTATGCCCTCTCTGATTCCAAAAGAACACAGTGGAAAATGGTAACAGAAATTGCTTCCAGGAAGGATAACTAAATAGGAGGGGAGTTTTACATTTCCCTGGATATTGTTTTTTTTATATAATTTTGCACTTTATGGCACAGAACCATTTCCTTTCAAATTTATTCTATGATGTGATCGAAAACTACCTTGAATGTTTATAGTAAGACATACTGTCATTAATCCCCTCAAAATATTCCCCCTATCTTGAATACACTTAACCCGCCCTTCTTGCCACATTCCGAAGCAACCCTGGGCATCCTCTTGCGTGCATATCTTCAGTTGTTCTGCTTTGGCTGCCTGCATGGCCTGAATCAACTCCAGATGCTCACGTTCATGGTCATTTTGACTTTGGGGAAGAGCTGGAAGTCACATACTGCCAGACCCCTTGAATAAGGCGGATGAGGACATGCCGTAACGTTTTTACTCCACAGAAATTGCTATTCCCAGTTTAATTGATTCAGGACATTGAGAACATGAAAGAGGACTTGCAGAACTGCTTCTGAAAGCGGAAGAACAATGGGATGAGTACGTTCAAATTGAGGGGGGATTAATGTCAATGTGTCTTCTCCTGTCATGCTTTTAAGTTTTTATTTAAACATTCAGAGTGTTTTTTAATCACATCTCAGATATTCCAACTCAGCACTCTCTGCCTATACCTGCTACACTTAAACATTTTTATAATGTTTATTTTATTACTATTTGTGAAAGTAATGCTATGGCTTTGTTGAGTCAGGATTTCATTTAGAATTTGAAACAGTGAGCAGGAATGGTAATAATACCCTTTATATCGCACACCAGCATTCTTGATTTTAAATAGCTCAGAATCCCTAGAAGCTAAGGGGCTTGAAGAATTCTCCATGGCAATGCCAAAGGCATTGGGACGCAGATGTGCTGTGAAGCTGATCTGTGTGAAAACCAATTCCAATTACCATCTCTCCCCAGAGTGCTTTCGTTCAGATACTCACTTTCATCTCAAATTGACTTAAATTGTCCCTGATATGTCATTACTCACCCTTCTCCAGTGCACCCTCAGACTCTCATCAACTTAGACTCAGAGCTCTGAATCATTAAATTGGGACAATTTCTTACCTCATCCCTCAAAATACCTCACTTGACTGAAAAGAACCATTTCTTTCTTGCAAAAATCTTACCCAAACTTCATATAAGTGTCGTTGATATTTCTGGACTCTGTAATTAGGAGGGTCATCACAGATCGCCTCTCCTGAGGAATGGACATTGTGATCATAGCTAGGTCTTGGCGGGGGACAATGATGTCCCCTGCTGCTCTTCAGGAAGCACACACGAATAGGAAAGAACAAGAAAAGACAATTTGAGAGGAACTCTAATGCAGATTTGTATTTTCCTATATCGGGCTATCAAATTATTAAAATTGTTAGAGAGATAAACTAAATTTTGGCTAGACAATATGAACAGGGTTTTTTAAACCTGTGAAATGTTAATAAAGACATTCCAATATTTCTTAGCTCAATAATTGAGAAAGCAATTTATTAACATGGATAATAACTGATAATGATTTTTTAATGACATTTATAGAATTTAGACATGTTCAATACCCATAAACCTGATTATGTTCTCAAAAGGAAAGACTCTCACATGTTTAGGTAGGTAAAGTGAAAACTGCTTTTTTCAGTTTTCACGCACAATAAAAATGATAAAAATTAAAGCACCGGCTGATAAGTTGGCACTAATCAGTACCGAGTTTTGTTCCACACAGAAGGAAGTTGGAGTGAATTATTGGGTTGTTTCATTTTTTAACTGCCTGTCAGTTTCAAACAGCAGCAAGCTTCTACTATAACGGTCAATTATTTAACACTTTGTGGGTAACAGCTTCTTAGTCACAACTATTCAGTTCTGAATGGGCACGTTTGGGTTCTAAGGAAAATTATTTACAGAAACAGGAAGCGAATCAAATGCGGTGTGTGATAGTTTGCCTAACCTGATCTATTGGGTAGATTTATCTACTTGATCCATTTCTTTGATATATTTGTGAGGAACAAAATGATTTCAAAGCTCCCAGTCTCAAAACCGTGCCTCTTGTAAGGGATCCCTCCCTGATTTGTGGGGGTGTCAGGACCACCCTCTGTGATTACTCGGCTTGTCATTTCACTCCTGCGCCTTATCCCGCCCCTTCCACGGGGCGCATATTAGTTACGGATAGAATTGGTGGAATATCTTTGTTTCATTTCACAAGCTGTTTAGTAATCTAATTGGGTGATTTCACAAAGTACACTGTATTGTTAGAGGAGCTTTTCTATAGAATCCAGCTCTGGTATTAGAGTACTATAACATGGAGACCAAGTACATGATAGAACAGCTGAAGGATGTTTGACAGAAGGCAAAAATTTTGAACAGGTTAAAGATACATTAGTTAAAGAAATCAATGAATTGGATGTAATTCAATAAAATATAATTAAATTACATTGCTGCATGCTTAAATGAGTGATGGAATGAATAATTACGAAAGACACACTCAGTATACAAAATCTAATAACAGGTGCAGAAAATATAACACAGGCCCGTGTCTTCTTCTCTTAGGGTTTTCCACTTCAGTTTTTCAGGGAAACATCAAGTGGTTTAAAACGTCATGAATGTAAAAGAACCTTGTAGCTCTCCTTATTTCATTTTTCATTGCCCAAGAGAAAAAGAAAAGAAATATGCAAAAACAAGAAGCAAATAAATAAAAAAAAAACTCTGCTCACTTTCTGCATTTTCGATTTTCTTCTTGAGGCTGTTTTAATTCTGTTTTCTCCTTTGAGATGACGGCAGGTATGCAGAAATTGTCTCAGTAATAGGCATAATTATGAGCAGTGCATAATAGACAGATTCATCTTATTTTAATTCCACCCTCCCTCTTCACTCTGTGGTTTTATTCTGCATAACAAAGAGCAATCCCTTCCTCATACTGAGGTGATAGACATCTGCCCCACACCT